GCTGTACTCAGGCCTGGTTTACTCCTGCAAGACCTCAGGATGGGCCTGAATTTCCTAGGTGCCCTGAGCCACAATGCCTGGCACAGTGGAGGGATTAAAACATGCTAGCTGAATTAAATTGAATTGCAATGAAAATATCTTTGTACATGACTTCCAAGCACATGACTTCTCCTTGGCTTCCTTGTCTGTGAAATGGAAAGACAACCATGCCCCATAGAGCTGCGGGAAGCATGCAACGAGATCATGACTTTAAAGGCGATGCAAGTGCGTAGGGCTTTTACCGCACGCAGAGCCAGACTCTCCCTCCTCGGGCCCCCCTTAACCCCAGACTTCCCTCATGTTGGGCAGTGGTTGGCTGGTGACACATCTGTCTCCCAGAGGGCCCAGGAGCCAAAGGGAGGGGTTGTTGGCTGAATCATCTCCAGTCTCCATGCCTGGCACAGGGCTAAGGAGAGAGGGAGGGACAGAGGGGGAAAAGTGGGAAGGAAGGTATGAAGGGCCTTCTGGCAGTCTTAGTGTCCCCAGGGGCCAGAGGGCCCAGGGTGGCTCTCTGTGGGGCCTCAGCTGGCAGATGAAGCCTCCAGGTGTCCACTCTTGCCAGCAGGACACACATGCCACAGAGGCAAAACTCTCTCTCCAGGAAGCTGGTCCTGCCACGTGGGACTCTGACCTGAGCAGAGGGTAGGGGAGGGAGCCTGCAGCCTAGGAAAGAACAGGGGGGTCCGAGGCAGCTCCCCAAGGACCCTAGGACCAAGTTGCAGTTGATATTTCAAGCCGTCTATAAGCTGAGCCTCACCCACCTGTCTGGGGGCAACCCCAGCCCTTAAACTGCTCTTCACTCGTGAACATGCTCTGTGCCCTCCTGCCTGTGCCTGGATGTTTCCTCTGCCTGAATGGTCGCCCTGCTCCCTCCTCTACCCAGTCACCTTTGGTTCATTCAATATCCAACTGCGATCATCATCTTCTTGGAGACTCTCCTAACTTCTCGAGACAGTTCCTCACACCACTGTGGCCCCCCTCGTATTTACTCAAACCCCAAATGTAACACATACATATTCTCTCAGGGAATCCTAACAATGCCCCTGCATGGTGGAGACCATTAGCCCCATTTTACAGATTCAGATACCGAGGCTCAGAGTGGCTAAGTACCTTGCCAAAATTCAAAGACGACTCTTCCATCTGCCCCAGATCTCCCCACTCTGGGAAAAAGGAGACTTGGTTGGGTGGGACAGGACAGGGGAAAGTCACATTCAAGACCCCAGTCCCCACATACTGCCTAAGGACAGACCTGGGTGTGGGCCTCAAGAACCAGGAGGCTCCCCATCTCCATAGCATGTTGGACCCCAACGGGGCTCAGAAATGGCCCCTTGGTCCCCCCTGCAGCAGTGTGCAGGGAGGTGGGGACTGCCCTGGAGCCACAGGTGGCACCTTCTCCCTCACTCCCATTGCCAGGGGACAGAGGTGAGCTGGAAGCCTCAGCCCCTTCCCCACCAAGCACCTACCTTCCTTTGCCTGTGTACGCTCAGTCTGGGTCTCTTATCTCTGTCTGTCATTTGGGTTCACCTTCTCCCTCTGAGGGACTCTCTTTACCATCCTCAAAGTGACCATCTCTGTCTCTGTCTTGGTCTCTCTCAGCTCTGAGCCTGTCCCAGGGTGTCCCGTTACCTCTGAGTCTTCTCTTCTGAATGCCAGTCTCTCTTTCTCTGTCTCGTCTCTCCCAGTGTCTTTCACGGTCTCTTAATGTTGGTCCCTACCTCTGTCTCTCTGCCTCTTCATTACTGTACTCTGTCACTGTTCTTGTCTCTCTGTCTCTGTCTCCTGTCTGCCTGCCTCTCTGTCCTCTGTGTCTTTGTCATCGCTGTTGTCTCTCTCTGCCTCTGTGTGTATCTTTGTCGCTGTCCCTCTATATCTGTCTCCCACTCTTTTTCTGTCTCCCAGACTCTGCCACTGCCTTTCTGCCTCTCTCCCTATCTCCGTGTTTCTGTCACTCTCTGAGTCTCTCGCTCTGTATGTGTATATCTCAATTTCTGGCTCCATGGTGCCTCCTCCACAGTGCCCCCGTCCCTGGCCCAACAGCAGGCCCTGCTTCTAAACTTGCTCCCGTGTGGGCGGCAGGAGACCCCCGGGCATCATTCCAGGGCCTGCTCCATCTGGGTGGCTGCGCTGACAGAGGAGATAGGAATCGGACTTGGCTCTGTCCGGGCCTGAGCAAGGGGCACAGCCAGGCTATGCGGGGGCGTCTGGGTGCCTGCAAATGTTTGCATGTGTGCACGTCTGGGTTTGTGTGCAGGTCTCCCTGGGTGGGGTGGTCTGGGTGTTTGTCTAGATATATTTGGGAGCATCTGGGCCTGTTTATGTCTGTCTGCGAGCATTTGTGTGTGGGTCTTTGTGTGGGGCTGTCTGGGTGTTAGCACTTCAGCCTGTGAGTCTCCCCATCACCCACAAATACCTCCAAGTGTGTGTGTGCGCGTGTCCTTGGGCACATAGAGGGGTCCCTGGGAGTACCTGCAGTCGTGGTGTATCCGCGGGGCTGTCCACAGGCCAGCCCCTCTGCTTGCATTCTCTCATACAGTCACCAGTGAGGTGCAGAGTCTATGACCCTATCTGACAGGTAGAAAAGTTGAGGCTCTTAACCTCCATGCTTAGCTGTGTGACTGTGAATGTATGTTTCTGTTTGAGGTGGGAGTGTGGAGGCAAAAGGACTTGATTCAAATCCTGCCTGACCCCAGGCAGGTTGTCTAATCTGGGACAATTCTGAATTTATTCAGCAAAAATGTATTGATCAAAAAAAGGTAAAATTAACCCATAGTGCTAGAAGTTAGATTAGGTACCGCCTTGGGAGGGGGTGCTGTAATGTCTTATAGCTTGATTTGGGTGGGGGTGACATGGTGTGTTCATTTGGAAAACATTCTTCAAGCTGTTCATTTCAGACATGTGCCCTTTACGCATATTATACATCAATATCAAAGTTTACAAACAATTTACTGAACTACTACTATTTGCCAGGCATTAAATATCAATAACAAGAGCGGTTCGTGTGTGTGTGTGTGTGTGTGTGTAACATTTCAGAAAGTGAACCAACCCCTCCCTCCACCTTGTCCCAGCCATGATGGCAAAGGGAGGGAGAGAGACCCCAGTCCCGGGCTAGATTGTTCCCCTGCCAGTCTCTCCTGCCTGTTTTCTCAAGGCAGCTATGATGTTATCTCTGGATTTTCAAACTGATGGGCTACCAGCAGACATTTTGCTAGGTAGCTGCTGGCATTCAGTGAAGCTGGTAACAGAGTCCTCTGCAGCAGGGCTCAGGGTGAAAAACGAGGGGTTTAAGATGCCCGGTGGACAGACACGCGTGCTTGACGCATTCAGCAACGACAGGCAGTGCCTGGATACATCCATTCCTGCTTTCCACCTCCACATTTTATCACGTCACCCAGCACTCGATAAAATATATTGAGCCCCTACTATACGCCAGGCCTCCTGCTGGGCCCTTCAACACACCTTACTTTGCCCTCACTACAGCTGCCATGTAAGGGGCATCATCTTCGTCTGCCAGCCAGGAAACTGAGGCCCAGAGTGGTGAAATGACTCTCCTCAGCTCACACCGCTCAGCAGCAGAGTCTACAGCCTCATTCTGCCTGCCTCTAACACCCCCTCCTCTCTGGATATGTATTTTCTCTGAGTTTCTGAGTTCCTTTTCTCTGAGTTCCTTTAGTAAACGAACCAAATTCATTTGCTTTTGCCCTCTTGGGAGATTTTAAAATTTTGTGTCATGTAGTAAGAAAACTGGGGTTTAAGCTGCCCCTTGGTGACAGTGTTCCTTCCTCAAAGGGAAAGGCCTCCCTCGTTGCCCGACACCCCTCTTTCAGGCCAGAGAAAAGCAGAAAAGGCAGGCGTGATGACCTTTGGCCTCTCCAGTGCAAGTCACCAACGGAGCGTGCTTATTGAATATTTGAAAGAATGAATGAATGAGTGAATGAATGGCATTTCTGTTTACCTACCCTTCACTTAGCCCATACCATGCTGTGTTAAGGTGATCTCGTGTCTGCCTTTGCCTCCTCTCTAAAGTCCTGGAGGGAAGGGACTGGATCGACTTCATCTCTGGGTCTGGACAAGCAGCTCGAGGTCTGGCACAGAACAGGCACCCCATGAATATTATAAATGAGTATTTACAAAGCATTATAAATAGCATCAATAAGGGAGGAGCCTGGCCTTCACCTAAGCTTCAATAAGACTATCAAGTCGTGTGATTTTTCAGACCCAACGAAATAGCAGCGGCACCAACTAGTTTCAATAAGTGGTTTTATTACTGGTTAGATTTTACAAATTCTGATATTCGAACAGACTTCCACCTTAAAATTCTAAAACAACAAAGCGACCGTTGGAGGGGGTTTGAGTTTTCCTTTTTTTTTTTTTTTTTTTT